CACCTTAATTTTCTTTGAGACGCTATAGGACTGTAGGAAAACTCCATTTTTTCTTTCTTTCGTGCTATTACTTGGATCCAATTTGTATCTAGGTGATACAAATTGGTATCTGACATCCTCACTCTATTTTTCTGATGGTTAGAACTAGAGCAACAATTGTGCCAACACCAACACGGCAAGACAGGGTGCGTCTGAGCCAACCATTGGGGCTGCAACTCGAAGAGGATCAGTGGCAAGAGGCCGTGGTAGAGGTCGCAGGAGGACGCCCACTAGAGGTAAGGGACAAACACCTGGTCCAGCATGGAATAGAGAAGTGACTCCACCACCGACTGATGAGGTAGTAAGAGAGGGTGAGGAAGGGAAAAATGAGCAGGTTCAAGATGAGGAATTACCACCCCAACCTACCCCAGAGATGATTAATCAGGTTCTTACTTATCTTAGCGGGTTATCTGATAGGGGCCAGACACCTCTAGTGTTTTCTGCACCAGTACCTCAGGTTCCGGGAGTACAACATGCAGCTGCTGTGGCTCCCCGCATGGATGCATCATTGGAAGTAGGCACATTTCCTCGATTGACTACAGGGTCTATAATGACAGGTGATCAACATAAACTTTTCACTAAGTTCTTAAAGTTTAAACCTACAGTCTACAAGGGTGCTGAATCTGAAGATGCCAATGATTTTCTGGTTGATTGTCATGAGCTGCTACATAAGATGGACATAGTAGAACGATTTAGTGTTGAGTTTGTGACCTATTAATTTCAGGGAGATGCCAAAATGTGGTGGCGCTCGTATGTCGAGTGTCAACCAGCACAGGCACCACCCATGACTTGGGGATCATTTTCTAGCTTATTTATGGAGAAGCATATACCCCGGACATTGAGGGATAGGAGGAGAGATGAGTTCCTGATCCTAGAGCAAGGAAAGATGTCTGTTGCTGCTTATGAGGCTAAATTTCGTGCACCATCCAGGTATGCCACTCAGCTTTGCTTAGTCCACAAGAGCGGATTCGTCGCTTTGGGAAAGGATTGAGGTCAGATTTGCAGATTTCAGCCTTACAGGTAGCTGCTGCAGAAAAATCTTTTCAGGAAGTTGTTGATTTTGTGATAGAGGTAGAGGGGGTGAAGCCAAACGACTTCACCACAACATCTACATTTAAGAAGTTCCGTAAGGGATGTGAGTTTAGTGGTTCTTACTCCAGAGGGCAGAATTCAGGAGGTTACCCAGACCGTCCTATTCAGTATTCACTGCATGCTGTAGCAGGGGATCCATCGTAGACCGGTCAGAATTTTTCTGTCACCGTATATGAGATCAGAGTGTCACAGTTGGACACAATAACGTTAAAGGAAAGAAATCTTGAATTAACTTAATATACTAAAACTCAAAGAACCTATTTCCCAAATGAGTATGGTGTGGAGGCCTGAATCCTCATAGGTATGCTTGATGTTGTGATTGACGGTGTACCTATCATGGTGTTGTTGTCAATGGTTCATGTGTTTATTGCTTGCTACCTGTTAAGTATTGTAGTTGATTTTATACTGTTGTTTAATATATACTGATTTCTATTTTGAGTTGGCCGATGATACCTACTCAGTACGTGTTCCTTGTACTGACCCCTACTTGTATTTTCTTCCTTGTTATTTTGTGGAGTGCAGCAAGGGTACCATCGACTTCGACTCGCCCTAAACTCTAGCCAGTCTCAAGCACATCAGACTTCAGGGTGAGCTACCATTCTTAGCTCGGGCTGGATTCTCTCCTTCATGTCTTGATGTCCTTGAAGTTCGGACATGTACCCTCTTTTTATTCATTTTAGCTCCTTAAATACTCTTAGATTTTGTAATTTAAGGATAGATGTTCTTGATGTGATCACTTCCAGATTTTGGGGATAATAAGTATTAAACTTTACAAGTTTATTTAATTGACTAAGTTAATAAGTTTTGGATCTTCCATGTTTTTTTTTGCTATTCATAAGTGATATAATGGTAAATGTTGGGTTCTAGATTTGTTGGTTCGCTCACCTAGTAGGCTAAAGGTGGGTGCCATTCACGACTCGTTTTGGATCATGACAGTACGTATTAATTTTAATATATATTAAATATAGAAGACTTGGACTTAGACTTTGGTCTTGGGCTTGGATCGAAACTTAAAATAAATATTTCATCTATACGTAAGAATTTTTTAACAGATAAGAGGAACATATATAGATATAATGGTACAAAATTGGTCTAAAATAAAAGAGACCAAAACTGAAAATGGCGATAATTAAAGTTTATGTACACTCTATAATAATATTGTGATGATCGCTTTTGAGAAATCTCTTCACAATATCTAGGCATGGTTGCAATGCTTTTTCAATATCTTCTTCTCTGTCTTCTTTGAAAAGGTCTGTATCAATTATATGATGCACTAACCATATTTTCTCGCTTATTAATCGTTGAATCTTGTCAAGTTCGTTTCAAATTAACATACGAGTGTTACGCTTGATACTTGAAATTGAAGCTTGAAGAATCATCTGCTTTGATTCATTATCTCCGTCTATATTTGTTTCTTCCCTTAAATATCTGTCCGTTTCAGGGACACCGATGGACCGTTGGATTCCTTTGGTGTAATCTACATCTGGAATGAAAATCTGTCGCACCTCATCCACTAGCCCTGCATGCAACACAAATTTAAAGAAGAGTTTTATTTAGTAGAACATATATTTGATAACCAAAAGTAGAAAATTATATAAGAAAAGTCTTTAGCTAGCTGCATGATAGTATATCTGTATTGATACATAGAATAATTACAAAAATTACCTGCTTTAACCATTTGATTAACCCTCATGTAAACTCTACGGTTCAAGACTGATTGCTCACCATCAATCCAAATAAAGCAACTATCATACTTATATTTGAACATGAACACAGGATCTTCAACAAGTTTTTCAATATATGAATTTGACCCTCCAACAATAATTGGAACACATTGAGTCTTCAGTATTTTTTCTATATAGACGACAGCTTGCAAACAAAAATCTTCAGCTGTGAAGTCTGAATCTGGTTCAATTTCACCTAAGAAAATGTAATCAAATTAACTTTCTCAGAATTGAAAGAAATATTTTTTTAATAGTAAAGTATATTTTTTTCACTAGAATCTATAATTACTATTATAAAATTATCTAGGTAGTCATTTGATATAAGTATTCTTGAGAATAAACATATATACCTAAAAAATAGTGTCGTACACCTTGTTTCTCAGCATGTGTGATCTTGTTTATAACAATTTCGAGTCCCTTGTAAACTTGCATTTTATCTGAGTTGATTATTTCTCCTCCAAAATGGGTGGCAACGTCAACAGAGAGACGGGATTTTCCCGTTCCTGTGGCCACCATTATGAAGATCACTTTTTTCTTGTTGAACACTTCATTGTTGATGAAAGTACTCATTTTATATATATAAAAAATATATATTAATTAGTTTAGAATAGTGAATTCATAAAGTCAGACATTAAAAAATCTTGTAAATACAAAATTAGTAAATAGAAACCTTGCTTGACTTGGAATATACTATCTAAAAATATAAAATTTTCTTGATGGGGGAAGTGAAAAAAAATTACATTCAGCTTTTATAGTAAAATCTTTTTGTGGACTTTATAATTGACATACCAATTTCATAATTACTGATATATTTTGGATAAGAATGACTTTTAAAATTTTAAAGATATGTCAACTTGAATTTTGGTAATTATTATTAAATATATTTTTGAATAAAGTAAGTAGTGTACGTTGTTAGGAGATCACAAAGAGGTGGACTTTTATAGTAAAAATGTAATTTTTTTATAGACTTATTAATTAGCAAACCAAATTAAATATATACAAATTCACATCTTTAAGAATAAGAATATTGCAATATAAAATTTAGAGTATATCACCCTAAATTTTGGCGATTAAGTTTAAATTGTTTTAGGATGACGTTTCTATATGTATATTGTTATGAGACCACAAGTAGTTACAAATGGATTGTACAAAGAATTCAATATTATTTCTGACATAATATATTTAAGTGATAATGCGTCAATCTTACACTATTCAAGAACACATCATAAGTGTTAAGTCTAATTCCATAAGAGGGAAGTGAACAATTATCGATAACTATTTCAATTACGAGTATTTTTATTGACTTGTGCACCATATATTAATAGATAATTACTTTATTGAATCAAGCTTCAATCCCCGTGATAGAATTGGGTAAAATATATTTATTACCGATAGATTACAAATTTATTATTATATCTTCTTTGTCTATGTGACATTGTTAAGTATTGACTAAAGAATTCTTTTCTTCAAAATCCTTTTAGGGTGGAATCTTCCCGAACATTTATGGTAAGTTATTATTTTATCACTCTATTAGCTTAACATTATGAGTGATGTCATGTAATTATGTACGTACGTATTTGCATTAATATATATTAAATATAGAAGACTTGGACTTTGACCTTGGTATTGGGCTTGGATCGAAACTTAAAATAAAGATTTCATCTATACATAAGAATTTTTTAACTGACAAGAGTAACATATATAAATATAATGGTCATATCATACATATATAATTGTATTGAGAATCAAACAGTACAAAATAGGTCAAAAATAAAAAAGACCAAAACAGAAGATGGCGATAATGAAAGTTTATGTACACTCAATAATAATATTGTGATGATCGCTTTTAAGAAATCTCTTCACATTATCTTGGCATGGTTGCAAAAAAGTATTCCTCCATGCTTCGTCAATATCTTCTTCTCTGTCTTCGTTGAAAACATCCGTAGCAATTACATGATACACTGACCACATTTTGTCGCTTATTAATCGTTGAATCTTGTCAAGTTAGTTACAAATTAACATACGAGTATTACACTTGATACTTGAAATTGAAGATTGAAGAATCATCTGCTTTGATTCATCATCTCCGTCTATATTTGTTTCTTCCCTTAAATATCTGTCCATTTCAGGGACACCGATGGATCCTCAGATTCCTTTAGTGAAATCTGCATCTGGAATGAAAATTTGTCGCACCTCGTCCACTAGCCCTGCATGCAACACAAATTTAAAGAAGAGTTTTATTTAGTAGAACATATATTTAATAACCAAGAGTAGAAAATTATATAAGAAAAGATTTTAGCTAGCTGTATGATAGTATATCTGTATTGATACATAAAATAATTACAAAAATTACCTGCTTTGACCATTTGATCATCCCTCATGTCAACTCTACGGTTCAAGACTGATTGCTCAACATCAATTCAAATAAAGCAACTATCATACTTATATTTGAACATGGACACAGGATCTTCAACAAGTTTTTCAATATATGAATTTGACCCTCCAACAATAATTGGAACACGTTGAGTCTTCAAAAATTTTTCTATATAGACGACAGCTTGCAAACAAAAATCTTCAGCTGTGAAGTCTTAATCTGGTTCAATTTCACCTAAGAAAATGTAATCCAATTAACTTTCTCAGAATTGAAAGAAATATTTTTTTAATAGTAAAGTATATTTTTTTCACTAGAATCTATAATTACTATTATAATATTATCTAGGTAGTCATTTGATATAAGTATTCTTGAGAATAAACACATATACCTAACAAATAGTGTCGTACACCTTGTTTCTCACCGTGTGTGATCTTGTTTGTAACAATTTCAAGTCCCTTGTAAACTTGCATTTTATCTGAGTTTATTATTTCTCCTCCAAAATGGGTGGCAACGTCAATAGAGAGACGGGATTTTCCCGTTCTTGTGGCCCCCATTATGAAGATCACTTTTTTCTTGTTGAACTCTTCATTGTTGATGAAAGTACACATTTTATCTACAAAAAAAATATTAATTTGTTTAGAATAGTGAATTCATAAAGTCAGACATTAAAAAATCTTGTAAATATAAAACTAGTAAATAGAAACCTTGCTTGACTTGGAATATACTATCTAAAAATATAAAATTTTCTTGATGGGGGAAGTGAAAAAAAATTACATTCAGCTTTTATAGTAAAATCTTTTTGTGGACTTATTAATTGACATACCAATTTCATAATTACTGATATATTTAGGATAAGAATGACGTTTAAAAGTTTAAAGATATGTCAACTTGAATTTTGGTAATTATTATTAAATATATTTTAGAATAATGTAAGTAGTGTACGTTGTTAGGAGATCACAAAGAGCAGGACTTTTATAGTAAAAATGTGATTTTTTATAGACTTATTAATTATCAAACCAAATTAATTATATACAAATTTACATCTTTAAAAATAAAAATATTTCAATATAAAATTTAGAGTATTTCACCCTAAATTTTGGCGATAATGCTTAAATTGTTTTAGGATGATGTTTCTGTATGTATATTGTTATGAGATCACAAGTAGTTACAAATGGATTGTACAATGAATTCAATAATATTTCTAACAGAATATATTTAAGTGATGATGCATCAATTCTTACACTATTCAACAACACATCATAATTGTTAACTCGAATTCCATAAGAGGGAAGTGAACAATTATCGATAACTATTTCAATTACGAGTATTTTTATTGACTTGTTCACCATATAATAATAGATAAGGACTTTATTGAATCAAGCTTCAATCACCGTGATAGAACTGGGTAAAATATATTTATTACCGATAGATTACAAATTTATTATTTTATCTTCTTTGTCTATGTGACATTTTTAAGTATTGACTAAAGAATTCCATTCTTTAAAATCCATTTAGGGTGGAATCTTCCCGAACATTTATGGTGAGTTATTATTTTATCACTCTATTAGCTTAACATTATGAGTGATCTCATGTAATTATGTACATACGTATTTGTATTAATATATATTAAATATAGAAGACTTGGACTTGGACCTTGGTCTTGGGCTTGGATCGAAACTCAAAAAAAAATATTTCATCTATACATAAGAATTTTTTAACAGACAAAAGTAACATATATAGATATAATGGTCATATCATACATATATGTTTGTAATGCGAATCAAACAGTACAAAATAGGTCAAAAATAAAAGAGACCAAAACAGAAGATGGCGATAATAAAAGTTTATGTACACTCAATAATAATATTGTCATGATCGCTTTTGAGAAATCTCTTCACAATATCTAGGCATGGTTGGAAAACAGTATTCCTCCATGCTTCGTCAATATCTTCTTCTCTGTCTTCTTTGAAAACATCTGTAGCAATTATATGATGCACTGACCACATTTTCTCGCTTATTAATCGTTGAATCTTGTCAAGTTGGTTACAAATTAGCATACGAGTGTTACGCTTGATACTTGAAATTGAAGCTTGAAGAATCATCTGCTTTGATTCATCATCTCCGTATATATTTGTTTCTTCCCTTAAATATCTATCCATTTCAGGGACACCGATGGACCGTCGGATTCCTTTGGTGTAATCTGCATCTGGAATGAAAATCTGTCGCACCTCATCCACTAGCCCTTCATGCAACACAAATTTAAAGAAGAGTTTTATTTAGTAGAACATATATTTGATAACCAAAAGTAGAAAATTATATAAGAAAAGATTTTAGCTAGCTGTATGATAGTATATCTGTATTGATACATAAAATAATTACAAAAATTACCTGCTTTGACCATTTGATCAACCCTCATGTATACTCTACGGTTCAAGACTGATTGCTCAACATCAATCCAAATAAAGCAACTATCATAATTATATTTGAACATGGACACAGGATCTTCAACAAGTTTTTCAATATATAAATTGACCCTCCAACAATAATTAGAACACGTTGAGTCTTAAGTATTTTTTCTATATAGGCGACAGCTTGCAAACAAAAATCTTCAGCTGTGAAGTCTGAATCTGGTTCAATTTCACCTAAGAAAATGTAATCAAATTAACTTTCTTAGAATTGAAAGAAATATTTTTTTAATAGTAAAGTATATCTTTTACCTAGAATCTATAATTACTATTATAAAATTAGCTAGGTAGTCATTTGATATAAGTATTCTTGAGAATAAACATATATACCTAAAAAATAGTGTGTAAACCTTGTTTCTCAGCGTGTGTGATCTTGTTTGTAACAATTTCAAGTCCCTTGTAAACTTGTATTTTATCCGAGTTGATTATTTCTCCTCCAAAATGGGTGGCAACGTCAACAGAGAGACAGGACTTTCCTGTTCCTATGGCCCCTATTATGAAGATCACTTTTTTCTTGTTGAACTCTTCATTGTTGATGAAAGTACTCATTTTATCTACAAAAAAAAATATTAATTAGTTTAGAATAGTGAATTTATAAAGTCAGACATTAAAAAATCTTGTAAATATAAAACTAGTAAATAGAAACCTTGCTTGACTTGGAATATACTATCTAAAAATATAAAATTTTCTTGATGGGGGAAGTGAAAAAAAATTACATTAAGGTTTTATAGTAAAATCTTTTTGTGGACTTATTAATTGACATACCAATTTCATAATTACTGATATATTTAGGATAAGAATGATTTTTAAAAGTTTAAAGATATGTCAACTTGAATTTTGGTAATTATTATTAAATATATTTAAGAATAAAGTAAGTAGTGTACGTTGTTAGGAGATCAAAAAGAGCAGGACTTTTATAGTAAAAATGTAATTTTTTATAGACTTATTAATTAGCAAACCAAATTAAATATATACAAATTCACATCATTAAGAATAAGAATGTTTCAATATAAAATTTAGAGTATTTAGCCCTAAATTTTGGCGATTAAGCTTAAATTATTTTAGGATGACGTTTCTATATGTATATTGTTATGAGATCACAAGTAGTTACAAATGGATTGTACAAAGAATTCAATAATATTTCAGAGAGAATATATTTAAGTGATAATGCGTCAAATCTTACACTATTCAACAACACATCATAAGTGTTAAGTCTAATTCCATAAGAGGGAAGTGAACAATTATCGATAATAATTTAATTACGAGTATTTTTATTGACTTGTGCAACATATAGTAATAGATAAGGACTTTATTGAATCAAGCTTCAATCACCGTGATAGAATTGGGTAAAATATATTTATTACCGATAGATTACAAATTTACTATTTTATGTTCTTTGTCTATGTAACATTTTTAAGTATTGACTAAAGAATTCTATTCTTCAAAATCCTTTTAGGGTGGAATATTCCCGAACATTTACGGTGAGTTATTATTTTATCACTCTATTAGCTTAACATTATGAGTGATCTCATGTAATTATGTACGTACGTATTTGTATTAATATATATTAAATATAGAAGACTTGGACTTGGACCTTGGTCTTGGGCTTGGATCGAAACTTAAAATAAATATTTCATCTATACGTAAGATTTTTTTAACAGACAAGAGTAACATATATAGATATAATGGTCATATCATACGTATATGTTTGTAATGCGAATCAAACCGTACAAAATAAGTCAAAAATAAAAGAGACCAAAACAGAAGATGGCGATAATGAAAGTTTATGTACACTCAATAATAATATTGTGATGATCGCTTTTGAGAAATCTCTTCACAATATCTGGGCATGGTTGCAGAACAGTATTCGTCTATGCTTCGTTAGTATCTTCTTCTCTGTCTACTTTGAAAACGTCCGTAGCAATTATATGATGCACTGACCACATTTTCTCGCTTATTAATCGTTGAATCTTGTCAAGTTGGTTACAAATTAACATACGAGTGTTACGCTTGATACTTGAAATTGAAGCTCGAAGAATCATCTGCTTTGATTCATCATCTCCGTCTATATTTGTTTCTTCCCTTAAATATCTGTCCATTTCAGGGATACCGATGGACCGTCAGATTCCTTTGGTGTACTCTGCATCTGGAATGAAAATCTGTCGCACCTCATCCACTAGCCCTGCATTCAACACAAATTTAAAGAAGAGTTTTATTTAGTAGAACATATATTTGATAACCAAAAGTAGAAAATTATATAAGAAAATTTTTTAGCTAGCTACATGATAGTATATCTTTATTGATACATAAAATAATTACAAAAGTTACCTGCTTTACCATTTGATCAACCCTCATGTCAACTCTACGGTTCCAGACTAATTGCTCAACATCAATCCAAATAAAGCAACTATCATACTTATATTTGAACATGAACACAGGATCTTCAACATGTTTTTCAATATATGAATTTGACCCTCCAACAATAATTGGAACACGTTGAGTTTTCATTATTTTTTCTATGTAGACGACAACTTGCAAACAAAAATCTTCAGCTGTGAAGTCTGAATCTGGTTCAATTTCACCTAAGAAAATGTAATCAAATTAACTTTCTCAGAATTGAAAGAAATATTTTTTTAATAGTCAAGTATATTTTTTTCACTAGAATCTATAATTACTATTATAAAATTATCTAGGTAGTCATTCGATATAAGTATTCTTGAGAATAAACATATATACCTAACAAATAGTGTCGTACACCCTTTTTCCCAGCGTGTGTAATCTTGTTTGTAACAATTTCAAGTCCCTTGTAAACTTTCATTTTATCCGAGTTGATTATTTCTCCTCAAAAATGGGTGGCAACGTCAACACAGAGACAGAATTTTCCCGTTCCTGTGGCCCCCATTATGAAGATCACTTTTTTCTTGTTGAACTCTTAATTGTTGATGAAAGTACTTATTTTATCTACAAAAAAAATATTGATTAGTTTAGAATAGTGAATTCATAAAGTCAGACATTAAAAAATCTTGTAAATATAAGCTAGTAAATAGAAACCTTGCTTGACTTGGAATATACAATCTAAAAATATAAAATTTTCTTGATGGGGGAAGTGAAAAAAAATTACATTCAGCTTTTATAGTAAATTCTTTTTGTGGACTTATTAATTGACATATCAATTTCATAATTACTGATATATTTAGGTTGAATCTTGTCAAGTTTGTTACAAATTAACATACGAGTATTACGCTTGATACTTGAAATTGAAGCTCAAAGAATCATCTGCTTTGATTCATCATCTCCGTCTATATTTGTTTCTTCCCTTAAATATCTGTCCATTTCAGGCACACTGATGGACCGTCGGATTCCTTTGGTGTAATCTGCATTTGGAAATAAAATCTGTCGCACCTCATCCACTAGCCCTGCATGCAACACAAATTTAAATAAGAGTTTTGTTAAGTAGAACATATATTTGTCGTACACCTTGTTTATTAGTGTGTGTGATCTTATTTGTAAAAATTTCAAGTCCCTTGTAAACTTGCATTTTATACCAGTTGATTATTTCTCCCGTAAAATGGATTGCAAGGTAAAAGAGAGACGAGATTTTCCCGTTCCTGTAGGCCCCCATTATGAAAATCACTTTCTTCTTGTTTAACTCTTCATTGTTGATGAAAGTATTTATTTTATCTATAAAAAAAATTAGTTTATAATAGTGGATTCATAAAGGCAGACATTAATAAATCTTGTATATATAAAGATAGTAAGTAGAAACCTTGCTAGACTTGGAATATACAATCTAAAAATAAAAAATTTTCTTGATGGTGTATATTTAAAATAAAATTATATTCAGCTTTTAAAGTAAAAACATTTTGTGGACTTATTAATTGACATACCAATTTCATAACTACTGATATATTTTAGTATAAGAATTACTTTTAAAAGTTTATCGATATGTCAACTTAAATTTTGGTAATTATTATTAAATATATTTAGGATAAAGTTATTGGTGTACGTTGTTAGGAGATCACATAGAGCTTGGCTTTTTTACAAAAAATCTGATTTTTTATGGACTTATTAATTAGTAAACCAAATAAAACATATGTAAATTTATATATTTTAGAATAAGAATAATTTATTAAAAAATTTAGAGATATTGTTACCTTAAATTTTGGCGATTAAGCTTCGTTATTTTAGGATGACGTTTCAATATGTATATTGTTATGAGATCACAAGTTGTTACAAAAGTATTGTACAGAGAAATCAATAATATTTTTGACGGAATATATTCAAGTGATAATGCGTCAAATCTTATACTATTCAACTACACATAATAAGTACTAAGTCTAATTCCATGAGAGAGAAGTGAACAATTATTGATAACTATTTCAATTATGAGTATTCATATTAACTTGTGCACCATATAATAATAGATAAGGACTTTATGTAATCAAGCTTCAATCACTGTTTTAGAATTAGATAGAATATATTCATTACTGATAGATTACAAATTTACTATTTTATCCTCTTTGTCTAAGTAACATTTTTAAGTATTGAGTTAAGAATTCTTTGCTTAAAAATCATTTTTGGGTTGAATCTTCTCAAGAATTATGGTGATTAATTATTTTATCACGCTATTAGCTTGACATTATGAGTGATTTCATGTAGTTGTGTACGTACGTATTTGTATTAATATATATTAAATATGGGAGACTTGGACTTGGACTTGGGGCATGAATCGAAACTTAAAATAAATATTTCATCTATAGATAAGAATTTTTTCACAAACAAGAGTAACATATATAGAAATAAGGGTCATATCACACTTATATATTTGTAATGCTATACAAACAATACAAAATAGGTCAAAAAAAGAGAGACCAAAACAGAAGATCGCGATAATGAGAGTTTATGTACACTCAATAATAATATTGTGATGATCGTTTTTGAAAAATCTATTCAGAATATCTAAGCATGGATGCAAAACAGTATTCATCTATGCTTCGTCAAGATCTTCTTCTCTTTCCTCTTTGAAAATGTCCGTAGCAATATTATGATGCACTGACCATATTTTCTCGCTTATTAATCGTTGAATCTTGTAAAGTTGGTTAAGAATTAATATACGAGTATAACGCTTAATACTTGAAATTGATGCTTGAAGAATCATCTGCTTTGATTCATCATCTCCGTCTATATTTGTTTCTTCCCATAAATGTCTGTCCATTTTAGGGACACCAATGGATCATCAAATTACTTTGGTCTAATGTGCATCTGGAATGAAAATATGTCGCACCTAATCCACTAGCCCTGCATGCCACACAAATTTAAAGAAGAGTTTTATTTAGTATAACATATATTTGATAACCAAAATTATTTGTAAGAAAATTATATATGAAATATTTTTAGCTAGATGCATGATAGTATATCTTGAGTGATACATAAAAAGTACCTTCTTTGACCATTTGATCAACCCTCATGTCAACTCTACGGTTCAAGACTGATTGCTCAACATCAATCCAAATAAAACAATTATCATACTTATATTTTAACATAAACACAGGATCTTCCACAAGTTTTTCAATATACGAATTTGACCCTCCAACAATAATTAGAACACGTTGAGTCTTCAGTATTTTTTCTATATAGACGACAACTTGCAAACAAAAATATTTAGCTTTGAAGTCTGAATCTTGTTCAATTTCACCTATGAAAATTGATCAAATTAACTTTCTCAGAATTGAAAGAAATATTTTGTTAATAGTATCTTTTATTTTTCTCTAGAATCTAAAATTACTACTATAAAATTATCTAGGTAGTCATTTGATATAATTATTCTTGATAATAAGCCTATATACCTAACAAATAGTGTCGTACACCTTCTTTCTCAGTGTGTGTGGTCTTGTTTGTCACAATTTCAAGTCCCTTGTAAACCTTCATTTTATTCTAGTTGATTATTTCTCCTTGAAAATGGGTGGCAAAACCAACAGAGAGACGGGATTTTCCCGTTCCTGTGGCCCCCATTATGAAGATCACTTTCTTCTTGTTGAACTCTTCATTATTGATGAAATTATTCATTTTATCTACACAATAAATAATTAGTTTATAATTGTGAATTCCTAAAGTCAGACATTAAAAAATCTTGTAAATATAAAGCTAGTAAGTAGAAACCTTGCTTGACTTGGAATATACTATCTAAAAATATAAAATTTTGATTATGGTGGATGTTAAAAATAAAGTTATATTCAACTTTTATAGTAAAAAGTTTTTGTGGACTTATTAATTGACATACCAATTTCATAATTACAGATATATTTTAAGGTAAGAATGACTTTTAAAAGTTTATCGATATGTCAACTTGAATTTTGGTAATCATTATTAGATATATTTAGGATAAAGTTATTGGTGTACGTTGTTAGGAGATCACATAGAGCTGGGCTTTTATAGTAAAAATGTTATTTTTTATAGACTTATTAATTAGTAAGCCAAATTAAACATATAGTAATTTATATCTTCTACAATAAGAATAATTAATTAAAGAATTTAGAGATATTGTTACCTTAAATTTTGGCGATTACCGTAAATCACCGTGATAGAATTAGATAGAATATATTCATTACCGATAGATTACAAATTTACTATTTTATGTTCTTTGTCTATGTAACATTTTAAAGTATTGAGTTAAGAATTATATTCTTCAAAATCCTTTTAGGGTGGAATCTTCTCAAACATTTATGGTGATTTGTTATTTTATCCCTCTATTAGCTTGACACTATGACTGATCTCATGTAATTGTGAACGAACATGTTCTTATTTATATATATTTAATATAAAAGACTTGGACTTGAACTTGGGGCTTGTGCTTGCATCGAAACTTAAAATAAATATTTCATCTATAGATAATAATTTTTCTACAGACAAAAGTAACATATATGGCATACATATATATTTGTTATGCGATACAAACAGTACAAAATAGGTCATAAATCAAAGAGACCAAGACATAAAATGGTGATAATGACAGTTTATGTACACTCAATAATAATATTGTGATGACCGTTTTTTGGAAATGTCTTCACAATATCTAGTCATGGTTGCAAAACAGTATTCATCCATGCTTCGTCAAGATGTTCTTCTCTATCTTCTTTGAAAATGCCTATGCAATAATATGATGCAGTGACCACATTTTCTCGCTTATTAATCGTTGAATCTTGTAAAGTTGGTTATAAATTAATATACGAGTATAACACTTGATACTTGAAATTGAAGTTTGAAGAAACATCTTCTTTGATTCATCATCTCCGTCTATATTTGTTTCTTCCCTTAAATATCTGTCCATTTCAGGGACACCGATGGACCGTCATATTCCTTTGGTGTAATCTGCATCTGGAATGTAAATTTGTCGCACCTCGTCCACTAGCCTTGCATGCAACACAAATTTAAAGAAGAGTTTTATTTAGTACAACATATATTTAATAACCAAAAGTATTATTAAGAAAATTATATATGAAAAGTTTTTAGCTAGATGCATGATAGTATATCTTGATTGATACATAACAAGTACCTCATGTCAACACTACGGTTCAAGACTCATTGCTCAACATCAATCTAAATAAAGCAACTATCATACTTATATTTGAACATGAACACGCGATCTTCCACATGTTTTTCAATATAAGAATTTGACCCTCCAACAATAATTGGAACACGTTGAGTCTTAAGTATTTTTTCTATATAGAAAACAACTTGCAAACAAAAATCTTTAGCTTTGAATTCTTAATTAGTTCAATTTCACCTACGAAAATTGATCAAATTAACTTTCTCAGAATT